AAAAGAAAGCAAGTTTTGTATAATGGATGATGTTGGAAAACATCTTCCAACACATTATATGGATTGTCCACTTTCAAGAATTTCATGTGTTTATAAATCTATTAGATTTGACCATTTTGAAGTTTAAAGTTTTATAACTAGAGATGAAAATAGATGGATTGCCCACTTTCAAGAATTTCATATGTTTATAGATCTATTAGATTTGACCATTTTGGAGTTCAATATTTTATAACTAGAGATGAAAATAGATACTCAGGTCATTCTAAGAATCTTTTACTCCAAACTTACATCTTAGGATAGAATTTAGAGGTGCACCTTACTTTGATCGTTACTGTTAGAACATTATACAAACTATACCCTTTTAATATTACAAACAACAAAACAAAGGGGATATTTAGGATAGAAAGTTTTTTCTCTAGTTAAATACTTTATTTTAGATTTTGGGTTCCACATGAAAATTATCATATGATTATTTTTTAATAAAATAAAATAAAATAAAATAAAGTATATTGAGTTCTTTTAACACTTGGATATCCCCACTTAAAATTGGACGGTCTTTGTTACATATTCCAATATATGTGCAACTTTGGAATGTTATCTTTTTCAAGCATTACACTCCTAAAAGGGGAAGTAAAAATACTCCAACAATACTCCAATATTTGGTTTTACCGAGCACATAATCTCTTAACAATTTTTTCCAGAAATTTAGAAGAAATGGTAGCTTGCATAATCTTTTAACAAAATTTTCCAGAAATTTAGACGAAATGGGAGCTTTGTGATTCAGTTGAAGTGGTCGAGATTCATTTATGGCAGAGTACCTCATTCCCCTAGAAAAATTATAGAAGAAAGAGAAACATGAGGAGCCACCTGAGCAATTTACCATCATAATCTAAAATCTTTAATACCCCATTGTATTAGAAGTACCTCTCAAATTATCATCATGATCTAAATTCTTTAATACCCCATTGTATTAGACGTACCTCTCAAATTATTTTTCCCTTTTTTTTATATGTTAATAGTGCAATAGAAGGCATTCAATAATTTTAACCATTGGAAAAGAAATGGAGTAGGCTACAAGTAAATCAATTTATTTATTTCATTGCGAAGGAAATAGAGTAGGTTAAAATATCATTTACTTTCTAATGAAAGTCTCCGATAAAAGAAAATTTTGAAGAAAAATTATATTCACAAAATAAATATAACAAAATTTTTGTGAAATACTTACTCGTCAATCTACTCCAAAAATTATATTCACAAAATATATATAACAAAATTTTTGTGAAATACTTACTGGTCAATCTATTCCATTGCCTCAAAGATTTAATATTGGAATCGTGTGGGCATAAAACTGATGTCTCCATGGCCTTAATATCTTAAATATATTGATATGCTTATATAAATGATGATTTCATATTGGAATCGTGTGGGCAAAAAACTGATGTCTCCATAGCCTTAATATCTTAAATATATTGATATGCTTATATAAATGATCTTGTAAGTCTTAGTTGCAGTATACAAAAATGAACTTAAAACGAATTTGGGGAAATTTATCAAAATTCAACATTTTACGGATCATGCAGCTTTTGATGTGTATTTTGAAATTAAATCAAAATAAATAAAAAAATGTTGTGCAATTCTCTTATGTATATTTTGATCAATTTCCCTAATTTTTCGGGCCAAAAATAAGATTCCGATAGAATCCAACATAAAAATCATTCACGCATAGCATAACGGGCCCTGGCTTGGCTTGCAGGCCTCAAAATGTAGCCCAAAGCCACACATGGCCCAGAGGCCCACCGACTGGCTCAACCCGATTTGGCAGGCCCTACCAAAAGCATGGGAAGATCAAACAATAAACGCATGGTTAGCTGACATTAAAAAGGACTTCAGGGAAAGCATGGTGAAGATCATACATTAATCATGTCAAAAAAATTTTACATCACACAAAAGAATATGTACTTTTACATCACAGAAAGAAAAATCATAGAGCTATCATGGATAAAATATATAATCATACATGGACTACAATAAAAAATAAACTAAATCGATGAAAAAATTGCCACTAAAATCTCGAATTGGCAGAAAACCCTAATCCGCTAAAACCAAATTATTACAACCTAACTAGTTATAATAAAAAATTATTACAACCTAACTAACTATAATATTATATACTGAAATTAAAATTGTTCGTTTATATTTTATAATTATTTTATTATACAAATAATAACCAATCCAAATATTTTATAATATCATCTAATTTAAAATGTATTATTGACAATTATAAGAAAAATAGTACATTAATCCAGGAGGTTCACTGACAACTATAACAAATCGCGCACATGCGTGAAAGTGTGGGGGCAGCCCAACGTTTGAGAAGAGGTGCCACGCGTAGCCACGATGCGGTGGGTTTGAGGTTGCCACATGTAGCTAACACATCATTGAGAACTGGTGGTCCGTGACATCATACGGGGCGGTTCTCGTCAGTTTATGACATCATACAGGCAGTTCACTGTTCAAAACTGATGCGATTTTCCGGTTTTACACAGTAATCGGCACTGGTTTACCGATTCCTATGCTGACTCGTGGCGAGTCCATTGCGACTCGTTGATTTTTAAATCACTGTTCATGACTCATAAAACGTAGCAAATTCAAGATTCAGAGTGCTCAGAACCGGTCAAGGTTTGGTACCGGTAAAGGTTGACCAAACCTTGATCCTGTCAAACAGGATTTTCAATAAACAATTTCCCATCCGATTAATCTCTGTCAAAGATTCATGATTGCATTAACGCAAACAAGTTAAAACTGCTAGGCTAGATGAAAGGATATATTACTTCTCCAAAATTGTTGATCAAAATTATTCTAGAAGACATGCATAAACAATGGTAGCTCAGCAAGGGTAATTCTTGAACAAACTTCAAGTATTAAATCCCTGACTTCCCTCATGAAAACCAGATCTCTTACCACTAATCTTTTTTTTTATAATGTTAACCCAAAATCTCTTACCACTAATCTTTTTTTTATAATGTTAACCTAAAATCTCTCACCACCAATCATGTCTAGCTAGAAGAATAATATGTTTCTTTTATTGGTAGAGTTCAAGAATGGATTTCAGGGGAGAACTGGAGATAACAAGGAAACAAAAGCAATTTAAACAATTCATAAATGGAACCAAAGAAGGGATTTAACAGGAAACTTTACCACAATATTCATGATAACAACCTCAGAGAAAATTTCAGTCCAATCAATCATGAGAACCAATCATATCATGATAGAAAAAGCAATTAATCAAAAGGAGCAGGGAAGATCAAAACATTAGAAAAATCAATGGTTTCCGAGATAAGATATTTATTATAATGACATACAAATCTCACATGCAATGCAACATAAAAACCAACAAACCGCAAAACAATAAGTTTCTGGTAAGATATAAATCTTGCACAAAACAACTCACGACTTCAAGAACATTACATATCTAACTCACATGATATGCATCAAAAGAAATCATCAGGAAAAGAAGGATATAGAAAAAAAAGAATCTATGTTTCCAAGAAAATGCCATTTCAGAATAAAAATGTAAGAAGAAAACGAATCCATGTTTTCAAGTATAACCCATTGGCGCCACCTATCCTATGATGGGTCATAAGGTAGATCACAATGTGCCATCTCAAAAATAAAGTGACAACGAAGAATGTTTCCTCTCATGGATTAATCAAACTAGTATCCAGTCAAAGCGATGCATGTCCCCAACTAATGCATTTCAGTAAGTGTGAGTTGTTTTTATCTTCTATGCATTTCAGTAAGAGTGAGTTGTTTTTATCTTCTGTTGCATCATAGGATGAGATATTTTTATCATCTGATGCACCAGACACATTTTCATGGCATTCAGTATAGGGCGAATAACACTTTCAAAAATTAAGTCTCTAAGAAACACTCTGTGAAACTTCAACAAACAGGTTAACACCATTCCAATTATATAAAAAAGCATAAAGTCAAGTCATTCTTGGATCGACTAGGTCAACAAACCAAGTAAGAATACACCACCCAAATGAAGGCATTCAAATCTAGGATGCCCAATAAAAGTGATGAAATACAAGGAATTCAAATTTGTGATTCCCCATGAGTAAGTGTTGGAAATCTGCTCATACTCTTCACCAATCAGAATACAAGGAATTCAAATTTGTGATTCCCCATGAGTAATTGTTGGAGATCTGCTTATACTCTTCACCAATCATCCCTATTTACATAGGACAACTTAATAAGAATGCACGCTCCACCAATGCATAAACACTCACTCATAACCCTTAGCGTTAGTCACAGGAAACTTGCATTTGGGTGTAAATTCCTGCTCCCAAAATCACTTACATGACAATCGCTAGCCAAATCCAAATGGAATCAATTTTCCTACACCAACCAGAGATTCTTCTCAAAGACATTCGTGAGGCACTTTGTCATAACTAACCTGCAACTCCTCTCCAAGGAGTTCTTAAGATATTACCCATGGCGCTCATCAAACTCTATTGTCATCATTCAAACCTTGTGTTGTTTATCGTCAAATAACAAAAAAATACAATCCATCAATTGAAGATATTGTTTATCATCAAATAACAAAAAATACAATCCATCAATTAAAGATACTTGAAACCCCGCAATTGTTTCCCCCGTAATTTGAATTCACCAAATGCCACTTATCAAAATAAAATATAATTAAATAAACAAACAAACCAAATGTCTCTCAAATGTGTTCAATCAGAAGATTAAAGACTTCAGTGCCCTTTCCACAGTGTCATTGCCCAGGCAAAATCCAAATTCTAATCTGTGGATTGATGTCCTGAAAACATTTTAAAATTAAGCCACAGAACACCCAATAAAACAATTACTGAAAGAACCCATTTCCTGTTATGCTCATCCATTTTGATATAAAAATAAAGCATTACTGTGTAAGCTTCAAAATCATACTCCATGAGATTAGATATGATATACAAGGAGATAACGATCACACGTACAAGATCAACAACAGTGCTAGCCTTATCCGAAACATGAATGAAGATAATCCAAAAAGGAAAAGAAATAATTTCTCAATCTCCATAACAATCACAGCGTTAAAACCATCAGAAAAATAATTAATGGCCATCAATTTAAACTACCCCAAAATAAATCAGATCAAAAGCCAATATAGACCTAGTATCCCATTCAAAATCCACGGAACGAAACAGTCCCCAAAAAACCCACCATCTAGATCCAGATCCCCTCTCTATTCAAAAACTAACGTATACTCAAAGTTCACTGAGCAAAAAAAAGCATCAAATTCAAAATCAAAACATCTTTTCTTTAGAAGCGGAGCTTGGTAAAGAACCAACGATTCTTGCCATTCTTGAACCTCTCCTCAAACCCAGCCTTCGCCTCTTTCGCAGTTGTGACCTTCTTATCATGAGATTGAAGAATTTCTAGGGTAATGATATCTTTGAGGTCAACATCGACAGTATAACGAGTAGGCATGATATGGTTATAGTTAACCAGCTTCACGAAAACCTTGACTCTAGATTTCTTCGCTGTTTTTTTCGCAGAGTCCTTTCGAATGACCTTTTTAGGGTATTTGGCGATACCTGCAACTAAACAATGGCCATAGGGTCTGTCTCTGGTCCCTTCATCGAAGGCTCGAACGATCACAGCCTTTCGACCCGCAAATCGACCCTGGAGAAGGATCACCGCCTTGTTTGGTTTCAGAAACTTCACCATCTCTCTCTCCTCTGTAACTGCGGCACTGAGTACATGAAAGGAATTAGGTTTTTCGAACCCTTAGAAATGTGAGTCTATAGTTTGGGCCTTTAGGGCCCGTATAACATGGTCCACATGGATACCATAACAACCTGGCTTACAGAATATCACCGTCTTCTCGGTAGTTGGACGGTGTAGGATAGATTTGGTCCCACCAAATTCACCTTCCTCCTACTTTGCTTCCATCACCATGCATCCATTTGATTTGACGGGGATAATACGTATGATGATGTTGACCATACTATAGTTAGTTTTTTACGCAACCAATTAGTTAGTTTTTTACTAGAACCACATGATTAGAGCTATTTTAGTGCATAAATCGTCCTTATCATCCAAGCTCAAAATTTACCATCATGATCTAAAATCTTTAATACCCCATGTATTAGAAGAACCTCTCAAATTATTTTTCGCTTTTTTTATATGTTAATAATGTAATGGAGGGCACTAAATATTTTTTACCATTGGAAAATAAATGGAATACATTGAAATTAAATCAATTTTTTTATTTCATTGCCAAGGAAATGGAGTAGGTTAAAACAATTTATTTACTTTCTAATGAAAGTCTCAGATAAAAGAAAATTTTGAAAAAAAAATTATATTCACAAAATAAATGTAGCAAAATTTTTGTAAAATACTTACTCCTCAATCTATTCTAATGCCTCAAAGATTTAATATTAGAATCGTGTGAGCAAAAAACTGATGTCACCGTGGCCTTAATATCTTGAATATATTGATATGCTTCTTGACATGTACATATATAAATGATCTTGTAAGTCTTAGTTGCAGTATACAAAAATGAACTTAGAATGAATTTGGGAAAATTTATCAAAATTCAACATTTTATGGATCATGCATCTTTTAAAGGGTATTTTGAAATTAAATCAAAATAAATAAAAAAATGTTGAGCAATTGATCTCTTATGTATATTTCGATCAATTTCCCTAATTTTTACGGGGTAAACTAAGATTCCGATGGAATCCAACATAAAAATCATTCATGCATAGCATAATGGGCTCGGGCATGGCTTGCAGGCCTCAAAATGTAGCCCAAAGCCACACATGGCCCAGAGGCCCACCAACTGGCTCAACCTGATTTGGCAGCCCCTACCAAAAGCATGGGAAGATCAAACAAAAACCGCATGGTTAGCTTACGTTAAAAAGGACCTCGGGGAAAGCATGGTGAAGATCATACAATAATCATTGAAGAGGTAGATGACTCTGATGATGATGGTCTCAACTCTAATGCATATGATGAGGCTTGCCCTATTGATATTCCTTCTGATGATGAAGATTGAAGACTCTTGCCTTTTGATCTTGACTGTTGAGTTGAGTCTGTTGATTGTTGTGTTGAGTCATGAGTGTTGACTTTTGTTAGACTGTATATTTTCTAAATTTCTGTATACTTCTATTATGTTGAGTGTTGACTTTTATATCCTACACTTGTATATGGTATTACAGTTTACTGTTTTAGCAATATGAATTATTAAAATTATCTTCTCGACATCTATCTTTCTTTTCTTTTTTTTCAACTTAGAATATGGTATTTTGGAAATTTTACTTTTTTTTCAACTGGGCAGTCGCCTAGGTTCTGGGTGCCTGCTTAGGCGTTAGGCGGCCTGGACCTCCAAGGTTGCCTAGGACCCACCTAGCACTTTTTGATACACTGGTAAGCTCTAATAAGTTACCAATTCAAAAGGAAAACACTGTTGCCTAGGCAGACCAGAAGGCCTGGGCACATCGCCCAAGCCTAGGCAGCCAAATTGAGCGGTGATCTCTAGAAAGGATTTCACATGGGTGTGGGACTTGACTTTTTTAGAGATCTGTGTCAAATTTAATGGTGATCCTTTGGGGTCTTACACACATGGGAGAGGGTCTCACAAACCTTTTTTTAAGACGAAAAAGTTTATATAGAGCCGAGGCTCTAAACAATCAAATTTTAGCCTACCTCAAAACTCTCACTAGAAGAGGTTATTTTGATGCCCAAATATCTTCAAATTGATCATCTCGGCATCAAGATGCATGGACATGAGAAAAAAATGGGTTTTAAGTTTTGGAAATAGTTTATTTTGTAATGCATTTTTGGATTGTTAATTTTCCAGATTTTCAAGTTTTCATAGATATGTCGATCTACACTTATTTTTAAGCTTCAAACTTTATAAATAAATATAAAAATATATTTCTCTCTATTCTCTTCTCCTCTCTCTTTCGCCTCTCTCTTCTCCTCTCTCTTTCCCCTCTCTCTTCTCTCTCGTCCTCTTCCCTCTCTTCTCTCTCCCCGAGCGGCAACCTTAGCCATCGAGTCGTCTTCTTCTCCTTCCCTTCTCTCATTCTTCTCTATCTTCTCTCTCTTCGCCGAGCGGTGGCCTGAGGTTTTTCCCTGAGTGGCAGTCTCAGCAGCCGTCTCGCCTCCTATCTATTATCTTCTTCTCTCTCCCCCTTCTAGAACCTTCTTCTTCCCACTCTTTTCTTTCTTCCTATTTCTCTTCTCCTCTCTTCCCCCTCTCTCTTCTCCCTCTCTTCCCTCTCTTCTACCTCTTCTCTTTCCCCGAGCGGCGGCCTCAGCCGCCTTCTCGTCCCCTTTCCTTCTTCTCCTTCTCTATCTTTTTCTCCCCGCGTCTTATCTCTCTTTCCCTCCTATCTTCTCTCTCTCTTCCCCGAGGGACGGCCTGAGCCTTTTCTCGAGTGGCAAGCCTCAGCCATGCCTTGCCTTCTATCCCCCTTTTTTCTTCTCTTCTCTTCTCTCTCTATTACTCTCTCTCTTCTGCCTTTCTTCCCTGAGCGGCGGCCCCAGCCGCAATCTCATCTTCTTTTCCCCCTCTTCAATTCTCCTTCCTTCTCCCTCTTCCTTTTTTCTCACACTATCCCTTTCTATCTTCTCTCTCTCCCTTATCTTCCTCTCTCTACCTCCTTTCCACCCTTTTTCTCTCTTCTTCCTCTAACTCCATCTATCTTCTCTCGCTTTCCACCTCTCCCTTCTTTCTTTGTCTTTTCTCCTATTCTCTCTCACTATCTTCTTCAATCTCCTCTCTCCTATTCTCTCACTATCTCCTCTTTTTTTTTTCTGATCTAAGAGGGCGCTCATACGAGTTAAGCCTGAGAGTGTCACAGACCCACGTGAGGTAAGTCCCGCCTCATGACTTTAATTCTTCTCTCTTTAGTTGGTACCCTGCTCGGATCCGCGCATGTACTCACCTTACATTCGTTGTGATTCTCGATAGAGCGGTCTCAAGTTCCTTGTATCTTCATTATTTCCTTCTAATATATGTCATTCTTCGGAGTACATATTGAAATATTAAGTTGATGAAGAAATCAAGTCATAAAGAATAATTTTTTTGAAATTTTCGAAAAAGATCAAATACGGATTGATATTGGTTCCATTAAAAAAAAGTGACTTTTTGAAGATCTTTAAAAAACTCGAAGTTCTTAACAGATTTCAAAAAATTGAAGCTATTTTTGAAAAAATCATATTTTAAATGGATACTTTTTTTTTCTTTTTTTTGAACAATACCATACAACTTATCATTAATTCAAATGTAAAATACAAGATGTTCAAGCAAAAACACAATATTGCAGATATGAAGTAACCAACAAAGAGGGAGTATGGACTCCTCCTTTGGCAAGAACGTCGGCATATGCATTTACCTCTCTACAACAATGTTTGACCGTTGCCATAGAGGTTGATAAAATATCCAAAATTTAATAAAAAATAGACCTTAATTTCCAAGGAATATGAGCCTTTCTCTTACTCCAAGAAATGACATTTGCCAAGTTTCCTTCGATAATCCTGCCCCCTTCCATAGCAATTTCAAACCTTCTAATAAATATCTTACTTCTGCGTCATTTGTTGTTATGATATCACAAGAACCTGAATAAGAAAATATAATGTGGCCTAAATTATTTCTGATGAACCGCCATAGCAAGCTGGTCCTGGATTGCCAAGTAAACTTCCATCAAAATTAAGTTTTAAGGAATTCACTGGTGGTGGTATCCAAACAACATCACTACGAGTGTTGATGGTAACACCCATGGTCGTAACTGCCAAGGGATTGCTAATGATAAGGCTTTTAAGAATAAAGGCACTATCTTGATGTTCAAGGAACCAATCAACTGTAACTGCCAAAATATTTGATTTTAATATAGACAGATATGTACTTATACTATTAAATACTCTTATATTTATTTCCTTCCACACACTCCAAAGAATGCTAACCCAAATAGATCTCCAAAGAACAGTTCCCATCTTTGAAATATCAGGTGCGATCCATTGGTCACGAAGTGCTCCAACATTTTGGGTGAAAGGTAATGATTGATGCACTGCCGAGCTCAATCCCAAAGATATGTAACAAAAGGGTAAAAGAACAAAATATGCTACGAAGTTTCATCACTGTATTTGCATAGGATACATACATTGGTGATAACAAACTTCTTCTTTCTTAAGTTGTCAATATTTGTTAATTTGTTTTGGCATAGGATCCATAATAATAGCTGCACTTTAGGAGGCACATGCAATTTCTTAATCTTGAATAAACCAACATCGAACTCTCTCCAACGATCAGAAAATAATAGATTGTAGGTTGACTAAACCGAAAAATCTCTCGAATAGGTAAGATCCCAAGTAAAGCTATCATCTATATTTGGAGTCGAATATGTGTCATTCAATAATTCCAACAATGTTTGATACTCCTCAATGAATCTATTTGTACCTCTCATACACCTGCAATGAATGGACCAAACAATATTAGTATAAATACCCCCGCTAGCCTCCTTGACAGATGCTAACAGGTTTAAAGCTTTTGAGAAAACCTCAGGAATAAAGTATCTCAACGGGTCAAATCAAAAGAGAGTGGATTCTCCATTCCCCACTATTTTTCGTAATTGTTATAGATGCACAAATCTGTCATAGTCTATACCTCTTCAAGCATGAGACAAACTTGACTTGTTTTTTAGAATTTTAATGATGCAAAGTTTAAATCCATTCCATATTTATCTCTCAAAACAAGCACCCATAAAGACTCAGGCTATATATGGATCATCC